GGAGTTTGTTTCCTCTTTCCAACATTTGATCCTTCAGGGTTCCCCCCCCCCACTTTTATTCTCTCAGCAAGGAATAAGAAAAAGAGAGAGAAAGAATATGAGTGAAGTTCTTATTGGCTTCAAATTGTCCAGTCTCATAGGATTTGATGTCCGGTCACTTTTGGTGGTTTCCCACAGAAATATACAGCCTTTCTCACGGGACTTTGAGTTTCTCATGGAAAAATAATAGGCTTCCCTCGCAGTGACACGCTGCCAATAAAATTTGTTTTGTTTTGTGTTTGCTGGGGGAAGGAGTTAGAAAGGAACAATTACTCTAAATGAAACCCAGAAGTCTCACTTAATTGGAAACCTATTCCAATAGCGCAGGGTTGAGATTGTGCTGAAGCTCAAACTCTGCAAGGTCAAACTGAATCAAAGACATGTCTGTAGAGCAGGGGTGTCAAACCCGCAATGTCACATGACGTGTTGTGCGTATCCTGACTTTTTTTGTCAGTGCCTGCAATGGGGTGGGCACCGTTTCGCTATGATGCATCCAGCCTGCAGGCTGGCAGTTTGACACCCCTGCTGCAGAGATAATCCTTGACTTGCAACTATTTGAAATTACAGTGATTCTGAAAAAAAAAGTGATTTATCACTGATTTTCAGACTTAACGACTGTTGCGGCATCCTCGTGATCATGTGATCAAAATCTGGACCCTTGGCAACTGGCATGTACTTATGAAAGTTGCACTATCTCGGGATCACGTGGTCACCATTTGTAACCTTCTTTTATTTCTTTTTTTTATTATGATTTTGAAAGCAATAAAAAAGAAATCCAAAAAAAGAAAGAAAAAGTCTGGAGAGCAGAAGCTGCTGTTGTAACGAGTGTCTGAGATTTAGCTCCTGATTTCTCCCCAAGTTTTATCTTCTTCCAAAGATAAATTTCTATTTTGTCAGATCATTCTCACGGTGCTTATAAGTTATTTCCATATTTTTGGAAGCATTTGAAGCTTTATTCTTGTAAATTTGTGGAAGGTCTTGCTTCGGTCTCTTTGCTGATTCCCTGGCTGCTTATACTTCCATATTCGAAGGCAGAGTTCGTTTTTGATGTCTTCTCCTTGAAGCTGGATGCAAGGAAGTGGTAGGCCACTGGAGAGAAAAAGATTATATGTTGGAAGGCAGGACATTCCCTCATCCCTTCAACATCTTGTAAATAAGGAAATTTCAAGAGATGCTACACTCCTAAGTATCTGAACATTTGTCTCTTCTGGCAAGACACCTGAATTCTCCTTCATCAAATCAAAGAAGATTTTTTTAAAAAATCCGCTCTACCCTCATATTGTATAGACACAAAGTCTGCCTTAAAACACCAGTACTCAGCCCTAGGAACCTGCATCACCCAATAAAATCCAGAACATGATCTATTACAGCAATCATGTCAGTGAAATTAAATAACCTCTAGTTTCTTAACTAAACATTTTCTGAAAAAGCAACTTGTTCTCTGACTGAATATGTACACTTGACTTTGCAGGTGTTAGCCATTTATAAACTCAGGTCAAGAGAAATATTTAACTCAATTCCCCCGAGAGGAAAGACAAAATTAAGAAAAGAAGGGCCTTTATGTGTCTATGACCCTTTTAAGGTTGCGGGGAAAGGGAGTATAGAAAAACTCCTTAATTCATGCATTTAGAGGTTGAATGATGTTTTTTTTTCCCCCTGACAACTTCAAAGTGAATTCCTACAGCATCCAAAATCACCTATATCAACATGAGACACTTCATGCTACAGAAAGGGAGGTAAAATTCTCTCTCTTCTCTCTTTTTCTCTAGAAACTAGTTCTCCGAACGAGGATCCATAAGATTCCTTGAACAGAACCTTGCAACAAAAATGCTTTAAGAATAATGTCATTTACAGCATTTATAGGTCAACGTTTTTTCTCAACTTTTCATGGCATTAACTGAGAAGTCATTTAGTTCAAAATATGTTTAGCTACATCAACTAGAACTTGCTGGATGCATATAATACATTTAGCTTAGTATTAATCTTGATTAAATCTCAGATAATGGGGTAAGGCTTAGGTTATTGTGTAAACTCAGCTCATTTTATTAATGTACAGTTATAAATATTGTGTGGTCTGATAAAATAGCTTAATTCAGTCATCAGGTTATATGAGTTCCATTTACATTCCCATTCATACTGTTATGAAAGTGCTTTCCAATTGAAAATTGTGTGTCTATCCAAGAAGTGCAAATAAAATGGGTTTATTAGTGGAAAAGGCATAAACAAACATCGTATTATTGCTTGAAAACATGTGTCTGTCAGGCAAAACAACATGGGGAGATGGGAAGTGTATGCCATAAAATGTATACATATGGAGCAGAAGAGGATAGCAGAATTTTATGGTGGGAGATTTTAGGCTGGAGATGATAGGCCAAATCTGTATTATAAATTGTGTGCAGATTAGTGACCATATGGCGTGCAGAATTTGTCTAATTGGGCAGAACTAAAGCCTGCATTCAAATGGCATATCAAAGTTACAAACGGTTTACCAATGGAATAAATAACAAAAATCAAACAAATGGAAGTGGAGCATCCTTGATCTTCCTCTCCTGTTCTAGAGCTGAGTGGGATGATCTAATTCTTTCCCCTTTGTGTCTTTTCTTGTTACATGTATCATTACGTATGGTTGCAGGACATGGGTATGTCTAGACCAGTGGTTCTCAACCTGTGGGTCGGGACCCCATTTGGGGTCAAACAACCATTTCACAGGGGTCGCCAAACAACGCAGTCCGCCATTTTTTCCCCTTTTTCCTTAGCTCTGCTACTCCCTTTTATTCTATTGGCTTTTGAAAGCCAATAGAATAGACTCTCTTGAACAGAGTCTAATTCTGTTGGCTTTCAAAAGCCAATAGGAATTGTCCAGGCTGTCTCTGCCCTGCTGAGCCCACCAAAAGTCCCATTCTGCAAACGGTGCTGCACCAGTTGAGTAGTCCTCGACTTACGACCAGTTGGGGGTCGTGGCATTAAAAAGGCTGAGAACCATTGGTCTAGACTAATGAGAAGAAGGACCAGGGGTGGCATAATAACAGTCTTCCAATATCTGAGGGGCTGCCACAAAGGAGAGGGAATCAACCTATTATCCAAAGCACCTGAGGTCAGGACAAGAAGCAACAAATAAAAACTACTTGAGGAGAGAAGCAGCCTAGAAGTAAGGAGAAATTTCCTGACAATTAGAACAATTAATCAGTGGAACAGCTTGCCTCCAGAATTTGTGTGTGCTCCATCACTGGAGATTTTCATGAATAGAGTTTGTCTGAAATGGTACAAGGTGTCCTTCTTGAGCAGGGGTTGGACTAGAAGATCTCTAAGGTCCCTTCCAATTCTGTTATTCTGTTATCTGAGTCCAAACAAACTCCATTAACACTATTGTAGTGGTGGTGAACCTATGGCATGGGTGCCAGAGGCGGCACGCAGAGCCCTCTCTGTGGGCACGCGCGCCGTCACCCCAGTCCTAGGCCTTCAGCTGGGTTTTATAAAACCTTTTCGCTTTATATATCAATTTGACACAACTTCCCTGAGTTTCTTTGGCCCATACCAACAATTGGTTGGGAAACAGAATGAGAAACGAATGTGATAGTATATGAAAGATCGTATTATGAGGTATTCTGATTTAATGTCTATTTTATGGAGAGAGAAAAGGAATTGCAAACTAGGTCCTGTTTTTTTCACCCCCAGAGCACAAAGTTAAGCTAACATTTACTCAGTCATCCAGGTCATAGTTGTCCCCAAGGTGCTTTTTCAAAAGGCAACTGGACTTTCTTACTTCTTCCTTGAAGATGTTTTGATTCTCATCCAAGAAGCTTCTTCAGTCAGAACTTTGGGTTAAGCTAATATCATTTCAGATGCAAATCTGCTGCTGCATATCCATGAGACTTACAAACTGCCTCCCCCCCAAATATAACCCACATTACGCTGATCAATTCGTACTGAGAGTCTCATAAATTGCCTTCTAATATGTAGCTACAGACAGACCAAAGTAGTCTAACCTTTCACATCTGGAAGTGCACCTGGCCTCGAGGAGGGAAGAGGATTTTTTTTTTCCTCCTCCAATTTTACCTCCAGTTGTACCCCAGCCTGGATTCCATGGCTTTATTGTGGGTGCAGGACCTAGAAATAAGGAGAAATTTTCTGACAGTGAGAACAAGCAGTGGAACGACTTGCCTTCAGAAGTTGTGGGAGCTTCATCACTTGAGGCTTTCATGAAGACTGGACAGCCATCTGTCAGAAATGGTGTAGGGACTGGACTAGATGACCTACAAGGTCCCTTCCAACTCTGTTATTCTATTCTATTCTAAGATATGGGCAATTTGATCTGCGGCTGAATAGAAATCCTAATCCCTAGAGACAGTTTGAATCAAAACTATCATTTTATTTATTGAAAGAAAGAAAGAAAGAAAGAAAGAAAGAAAGAAAGAAAGAAAGAAAGAAAGAAAGAAAGATGAGAGAGACACAGTGGCAAAAGGAGAATGGGACAGGAAAAGAGCTGACTTAATCCCAATACTAACACAATATTGATTCGCATTCATGTATGTCTGCTTGTTGACATGTGTTGCATACAATGTATGGTTTCAATTAGGTGTTCCCTTCCAGGGGTAGGGCAGTCGTGCTAGAAAAGAGATAGAGTTTAGTAGGGTCTAATTTTATGTAAAGTAAAATGCCCCAATGCCAAGCACATGAGAGCAGGGTGGGGGAAATGCAGATTTGGGCAAATGAAAATATTATTTTTAAAGCGTCTTGGCTGCCAGCCTGAAAAACAAATGGGATTTACCTCTAAAGCTAATTATTCTAGCTTAATATCTGTCCACAGGCACATCATGAGACATCTGTAATGAAAAACTACTTCTCATATACCACGTCAAGTCCTTGTGTATTCTATTAAGCAGCGTTCAATGTATTTACCTAATAGCTTAGCCTGAGATTTGTTTTGCTGTGCTGAAACAAGATTTATGGAATTTTTGCAGGTGGTGAATAAAAAACAACAACACCCTTTGGCTTGTTCTTTTGAGATGGTCTACGATGTGCAAAATGCATAATAAAGCACCGAAACTGAACAGGTTTTATACAGAAAGAAACCTTCAGCATTGACAAGGTACATACTACTAGCACATTCTCTCTCTCTCTCTCTCTCTCTCTCCCTCTCTCTCTCTCTCTCCTTTTTTTTTTTTTTTTGCCCTTGCAGGTTTTTATTGCCTGGACGCAGCTGGATTTACACTGTATTTAATAAAACATTAGTAGCCACTAGGGACTGAAATATGTAACATAAGTCTTTTTCAGTAAAATAATTCCATAAATCTACATATGAAGTTATTTTTCTTTTCTTTTTTTTGCAAGTGCCATATATCTATAATTTAATTTAATTATAAATGAAGTCTATGAGCTCCGCTGCTCACCCCAGCTCCATCTTTTGAATTTAATAGAAGTAAAACTTGTCCATAGTTGATTGTAGATCAATGTTTGCAGTTCTGGAATGTATTGGGCCTCCCACCTATCTATCACATTTAGATAAACTGGGGGGAGGCGAAGGGAGAGACCTAACTGCTCTAAGGATTTGCAAACCCTCAATGAATGAATTAATGAATGAAGATGGAGGGGGTGAGCCATATTCTCTAGGTAGACGTAAGAGCTGAACTCTATTCACCATTTTCATTTGCAGATAGATTCTTTGGAGCTTTGCAAAAGAAATGGGAAATCATGGACTTTCTACAGCCTTTGATTGGCAGTAGTTAAATCAGAGGACTTTCCATAAACAACTCCCTGATTTTTTTTTTAAATCTAAGATGCTAGGCTTTTAATCTGAGCTCTGTTCTGGAAAAAGCTATGGACTTGCCTCATCACCATATTGAGAATTCATTGACATATCAGTAATCCATCTGGACACAATTCCGGAGGAAGCTTCAAATGACAAACAACTGAAATGTAAAGGACACAAATATTGATGTTAAATACAAAGAAAATACTCTCTGATCTCAGCGATATAACATTGTGATTCTTGGGCTGCACCAAATTATGGTTTGTGTTGCAACAGCTTGGATTGCTTATCAGGAAAGACTTTAGCTCAAGAAATGAGTTTGTCCCTAAGCATCAGCTAATCCATCTGGGTTGCTTGGTGCCAACTTCTCAAGTTTTCAGCACCATCTAAAAATTCACCAAGGGTTTAACTCTGTTAAAAAAGAAGTCAATTCCTTGCTTGGCAACATTTGGAAGAGAATTGAAAATAGAATTGCTGATAGATGCTTGCTGTCTCACAGACCTACAGAGATAACACTCTGAATATTGTGCACAGTTCTTTTCGCTGCCCCTTAGTTAGAAAAGATGCTAGACAGGTCAATTGCAATGACAAGGGAGCTTCAAAAGGTCCCCTGCAAGGAAAGGCTTTAGTAATTGGCATTCCTTCATTTGAAATGAAAGCAAGTAAAGAAGCACATAATTGTATATAAATCATATAGGGCATCAATAAGAGAGAGAGAGAGAGAGAGAGAGAGAGAGAGAGAAGGAAGAAAGAAGAAGGAAGAAGGAGAAGAAGAAGGAGGAGGAGAAGAAGAAGAAGAAGAAGAAGAAGAAGAAGAAGAAGAAGAAGAAGAAGAAGAAGAAGAAGAAGAAGAAGAAGAAGAAGAAGAAGAAGAAGAAGAAGATTTTTTTCCCCTCCAGTGTGAGAACATGAGTCATCCACCAAAACTTAATGCAGAAAGCTGAGGGAACTTACTCTTTCACATAGCACATAACTAAACTGTGAAATGCACTGGCAGAACATGGAATGGCAGCCAAGTTGAATGTTTTTAAGAGGGGACTGAACAAAAGAGAATCAGGCTCTGTATGGCTACTAAAGAGGATCACATTTTACAACCAGCAGAACTCTAAGTCAGGGTTCTTCAAACTTGGCCCTTTTATAACTTGTGGACTTCAACTCCCAGAATTCCTCAGCCAGGGATGTTCTTTACCATGTGATCAAAACCCCACCTCCTTTCCGACATTCATTGATGCGCATTTTAAAAAAAGAAATGAGGCTTCCATCTCACAGTTGTGGCCACCCACCTGTCTTTTCGTCCCCATTCCTGTGAAAGAGTCATACAACAGGCAGCCTACCCATATTTGCAATCAACTATATTTTAAAAACAGAATCAGCCCCATCGTAATTTGCACTCAACTTTCCAAGTAATAAACAATTTGCCCAATTAAGAGGCACCTGGAGACTTCCAATTCTTGCCAATTCCTTCTCTTGTTCTTTGAATAGTTGTAATATTGCCCATCATGGATCTTGGGTTTTCTTTTTTCTCACAAGCTGGCATGGCTGTCTTTGATTCATAGGGGAACTATTATCATAGGAATTGCTCAAGCTCATCGAAAAGTGGATTCTTAAGATTCCTAAGTCATTGTTGCTTCCTCTTATTTCTGGGAAATCCTTCTTAAATATTTATTTAGGATCGCCTAAGAATCTAGGCTGCTTTAAAGCTACTTTTTTATTTTAAGTATCTTGCTACATGCTAGAATTATTTAATTACTTCTGCAAGCAAGTTTAAGGAGAAGCTTATCCCAATCGCCTAGCGTGGCCTAAAATAAGATTATTTACAATCCAATCTAAGGAGTGCTGACTGGTAATGTTGGCAGCTAAAGCTGCCTCAGCATTTAAATTCCCACTTTTTCTGGGCAAAAACCCAGCAGGCTGATTCAATTAAACTCTTTATGTTATATATTACCCAGAAGTTCACTATCTGCAGCGATTCACAGAGACTAAAGCCATGCCTTTATGATTGCAATTTGGTAGCAAGACAATTTTTTTTTTCCCAGGGACTCTTAGTTGAACGGCCGTGAAAATGACAAGGAAGCAGCATCTGATTTGATGGTGGTCTTTGCAAAAGATACATGCTGCCCACTTCCCAGTCAAAAATTAAATGTAATTTCAAAACCGTGAAAAAAAAAAAAAAGATTGTTCGCCACTCCTGGGGCTGCTGATCTACACTTGGGGTGGAAAATATAATCACTTCCAGGGCAGACGTGGCTCAGAACAATAGGCCCCTTTTCTCTTTAAAAAAGCTACAATGGAAGCATTGTCACTCATGTCAGCATCTGCAGTTGTGAAGAATATATATGGCTCAGGGTTGAATTGTTGGGTTCTTGGTGTTCTCCTTGCTGATGTTTCATTACCAGACTAGGTAGCACCATCAGTGCAACATCTGGTGATGAAACATCTGCAACAAGAAAAGCAATATCAGAGAGCAATCAGAGCCCAAAAATGTAAGCTACTTTAAGTCTAGTTCCTCCAACTGGATGTTTGGTGCTCCAGATGTGTTGGGTCTACAACTTTCTAATCAGTGATTCTGGGAATTAGAGCACACATGTGGAGGGCATGAGATAAAAGATAGCAAATTTTATTATTGAAGGCACATTGTGTTCTGAAATTCTGTATCCTGAACTGGGTGATAATCCCATCCTGTTTACAGTTACAGTCAGTGCAGCTTTGTTCCTTTTCTTCCCTGGACCACATGGCTATATTTACATAATATACTAACCTTAGTTCGGTTAAATGTTGGTCAGCTTTTTTTATGCTTATGCTATGGTATGAACCTCCAAACCATCCACATCAAAGTGCAAGGGTTTTCGAAATGTTGATCAGTGCAAATAATATAAACAAGGATATATCCCAATAAAATTCCTGGAACAGGATGTTTGCTGCAAATACATACTGTAGGTCACCCCATTTGTGTTGAGTACATTGTCATATACATTTTATCTTTTGTTCTATGGAGATTCTCAGTTATCCAGGTCATGGTTGTCCCCAAGGTGCTTTTTCAAAAGGCAAACTGGACTTTGTTTTTCTTTGAGGATGTTTCACTTCTCATCCAAGAAGCTTCTTCAGTTCAGACCAAATGGGGGTGGATGGAAGGATTTATATTCCTTGCACTCATCTGGTCGTTGGTGCTCTTTCTGAGAGTGCTAAATTCCAGTTGCCTTTTGAAAAAACAGCTTTGGGATTTTATCTTTTGCACCCTCCCCATCCTATGCAAAGGGTTCATTGTGCAGTGGGTAAAACAAAACAAACAAACTCAAGATGGCAGAACACCCCTTTTGTTTATGCTTTGACTTCTCTCTTTCCCTCTCACACACACACTCACACACACACACTCATACACATACAAAGTGATGGGGCATTGATAATATGTTCACAACTGCCTTGTTGATCTTTTTTGACCCTTCTCCTGCAAACACGCCTGCTTTGTCAATGTCCAAGGACTTATAATGTTCTCAGTTTGCATTTTTTTTTTATTATCCTGACTCCTTCTTGGTTGTCTACATTTCTTATTCATGTGAAAAAAGCTCTATCAGAGGTCTTCTAGTCCTGCTTCTGCTCAAGCAGAGAGACCCAACAGCATTTCAGTCAAATGCTTGTCCAATCTCTTCTTAAAATCATCCAGTTTTGGAGCCCCTACAACTTTTGAAGGCAAGCCCATTCTACTGATTCATTGTTTTGTCAGGAATTTTCCCCTTACCTCTAGATTGGTTCTCTTTCAATTATTAAATATTCATTCTTTACGTGCATGAACTGAAGAAGCTTCATGGGTGAGAAGCGAAACATCTTCAAGGAAATAACAAAATCCAGTTTGCCTTTTGAAAAAGCACCTTTGGGACAACCATGACCTGAATGACTGAGAATCTCCATAGACATGTTCAGGTTCATATTGCAAGAAGAAGCAGTATTTAAATACTTATTAATATATTTAATTGCAATTGCAAATAATAAGATGAGATCCAGTTTTGCCTTGGATGGCACCCTCTGCTTCTTGCAGTGTGGGTCTGAACATGTCAGAACCGAAGAAGCTTCTTGGATGAGAAGCGAAACATCTTCAAGGAAAAAGCAAAGTCCAGTTGCCTTTTGAAAAAGCCCCTTTGGGACAGACCTGAACACCATTCAAAAGTCCAATGAAGTCCTCCCATATTTTTTTGTAAAGATACCACTCTTTTCTATTTTTTAAGCCCCCCACCCCACACCATTTTCTTTAGGAGACTGTTTTTGATGGCTTTCTTTCTTTCTTTCTTTCTTTCTTTCTTTCTTTCTTTCTTTCTTTCTTTCTTTCTTTCTTTCTTTCTTTCTTT